CCCCGTCGCCGACAAGTGCCGAAGCCCTGCTCGCCTCGGTGGCGAGCCTGCCCTTCAGCAGCACGGAGAGGTTCACCCGCTGGATGCTCTCGGCGGTGCTTCATGTGGCGGAGGGGCTAGAGGCGAGGGTGGTGCGAGAATTGCTGTTCGAGCGAGCGGAGGAGGACCACACTGCGCGTCAAGAGGCGGAGGATTTCCTGCTGGGTACGGTGGACCTCATGCTCAACTCGCCAGACGCCTTCGAGACAGCTCTGGCGTCCCACGAGCTAAGTGACTCATAGGTATGCGTCCGAGTGAAGTAGAACCCCCCCCCCATGACCGTAGCCGGCGTTGCCAAGTCTGTATACAGAGAGGGGTGGGAACAGGCCATGAGGGAAGCGTTTGAAGCGCACTTGGGCACGGGGACGTTTTCATTCGTAGACGGCGCGCCAGAAGGACGCAGGCCTGTGAGCTCAAAGTGGTGTAATAGTTGGAAGACCAACAGGGAAGGGAAGATAGAGAAGTTTAAAGTGCNGGCACTTGGGCACGGGGACATTTTCATTCGTAGACGGTGCGCCAGAGGGTCGCAAACCTGTGAGCTCAAAGTGGTGTTTTAGTCGGAAGTCCAACAAGGAAGGGAAGATAGACAAGTTCAAAGCGCGTCTGGTTGCTACAGTAGGGGGGATTCGCAAATCCCGAACGTCAATTATTTCTATTCGTCTTCCCCTTGCCCCTCATCCGCATCCATTAAGCTGATGCTTGCGGTAGCAAACGAGAAGGGCATGAACCTCAATCACTGGGATGTGAAGCAGGCGTATACATACGCCACGCTAGACGAGGAGATTATTCTGTGGCTCCCCGCTGGGTGCGGGGACAAATCGCATTAGATTGCTAAGGCTGAGCGTGCGATTTACGGTCTGAAGCAGAGCGGTAGGCAGTGGGGGCACAACGCTGCTGACACGCTAGTCGAGAACGGGTTCGAACAGTGCAAGGCGGACCCGTGCTTTCCGCAAGATGGTAGACGAGGTCGTGGTGATGATTATCGTGATCTACGTGGATTGCATTTTGGTGGCTGGGTCTGACGAGGATTACGAGGAGTTGCTTGCTTCTCTCAACGAGAATTTTCCCACCAAAAACCTTGGAGAGTGTCAATGGTCTGATGGGTATGCCATCGAACGAGATGTAGAGGCTGGGACTCTTAGAATCTCCCAAACCGCGTATATCGACAGCATGGTTAAACTCTTCGATGTGCAATCGACTTCCCGCATCTCCGCTACCCCTGGTGCCGGTCTAGGGCCGAAGCGAGAGGAGAAGGAGGGATGAGAGTGGCCGGTGAGGGAGGCCATCGGCAGCATGACGTGGGTGTCGACTTTCTCGCGTCCAGACGTCTCGTTCGCCGTGCGTGCGGTAGCGCGCCACGCCCACGCCCCGGCGAAGCGGCACTGGGATGCCATACAGAAGATCCTCGGCTACATAAAGTAGACGAGGGACCTCGGCATCACCTACCAACGGGGATCGGGGTTAGGGCTGGCCGTGCACATAGACGCTAGCTACGCCGACACGGAGATAGGCGTTCGGTGTCAGGGTTGGCGACGACGGTTGGAGGTACCGTAGTCAGCCATGGTAGCAAGACGCAGAGTATCGTGTCTTTGTCTTCAACGGAAGCCGAGTACATTGCTGCCGGGGAGGGTGTCAAGGAGGCGTTGTTTGTGCGTGCTGTGCTTTCGTTTGTCGCCCCAGAGACCAGTGGTAGCAGCATCCAGGTCCTTGAGGACAACCAGGGGGCCATAGCGTTGGTGCAGAACCCCCTCAGCTCAGGTCGCACGAAACACATCGACGTGAGGTATCATTTCATCCGAGGATTGTTTGGGTCGGGAGATATTGCGGTCAAGTTTGTTCCGACAAAGGAGCAACACGCGGACCTCCTTACCAAGGCCCTTAGCAGGGCCAGCCTGCAGTACCACCGGCGCAAGTTGATAAATTTTCCGGAGAAGCTGTAGCAGTTGTTAGCACTTGCCTTGGACTTTCTAATAAGTGCGGCCGTTGTGATCCGCTGTGATAGCGACGGTTTTTGTGGGAGGGGTTTATTCGAGGGGTTTTGCCCGGACGCCGGGTTTCCCCTCCATATATTACCATGTTGGTATTTCTGATGTATCCAGGGGCGTTCTTGCTCCATTAATGGTTAGTCACTTGCGTGAAGAACCAGGGAGGGTGTTCGTGGGTCTGCGAACATTGGTGTTGGATACATGTGCTGTATGATTTTGGTGTCACGCAGATTGGTAAGAATGCCGTTTGGTAGGGGGCACCGCGATAAGTCACGGGGCCCTTCCTTGGTGTAGGAGCTGCCCATGTGTGGGGCACTCCCTCTTTCGTCCGTGTGAAGGACGGTCGTCGACCTCTCGTGAAGTAAATACTTCACCAAAACAGTCTCACCCGGTAAAAAAGTGGCGTAGGCCGCAAACATTAACCCGGTACACCACAACACGGTAAACCAGGCCTCACCGAACCAGGTAAACCAGCAAACGGTAAACCAGGACAACCCTACCCCGGTAACCTAAACCACGGTAAACCAGGACGTGATTAGCACGGCGCGATTTACTTTGAAGGCTACTGACCTACCTCCTGATCTCAAGCTCGAGGGTCTGCCTCACGAAGATGTTCCCGAAAAAACGGCGCTTTACAGGGCACACATCGGTCCTTTGTCTGCAGACAACGTCTCTCAAAGCACAATCGATCACCGCGCAATCCAACATCTCACGCTCTTCGTGCGAGGTGCCGCAGCTAATAAGTCTCAGCCTCATGCTTAGCTCATCTCTGGAATGGCGATCGCCAGCTCAGCTAAATGCGTTGCGTGCACGTGGGGAAGTGGTCGGAATCACACCTCCGAGAACATGGAAGGAATGGGTCACGGCTTTCACCACATCGTTCGCTCCCGCCAACCGGATTGCTCTTCTTGCACGTGATGTCATGAGATTAGAAGCGAAGACTAGCGGATCAGTTGACGTGTTGGCGCTCAGAGTATCACGCGCGTATGCCAGACTTCTAGCCGAAGCTGAACGCACAGCTCCGCTGGATGTACCACCTCATGAAAACGCTTTCAACCAAGCTCTCACTGCATCTTTCGAAAACGGTGTACACCCCCATATCCGCGTAGAGATGATGCGGGCAGATCCATCCGAATCTTTCATGTAGTCGAAAGCGCGTGCTCGTAGACACGAGTCCAATAAACTGCGCTCGCCCCCTGCCCCCATCTCGGCTACCACCTCTACAGCAGTATACAGCTCTGCTCGCCGTGGGCAGCTCCAAAGTACTGTGGACGACAACAAAGACCGCATCACTGGCATTGAAAACTATATTTCAGGGCAGGAAGCGTTTGTGTCCAGTGGCGGAGCATACGGCGCGCAACGCGGTGGGCGTGCTCAGCGGGGGACCGACAAACGTGATAGGGATAATTCCAAATCCCGGGGTCCTCCCGCGCGGGCGAAGGCGAAAGTATCGTTCGCTGGTACTGCCGACTCCGACACCGCCAAACATGGGAAGGAATGTGACTTTTTTGGTTGCTGATTCAGTAACATTCGCTTTACGCACACCCGCGCGGAGTGCCAAAACGAACAAGCCGCCAAAAATGAGGGCAACGATGGGATGCTGTGGAGCGACCAAATTCCAAGTTCCAAAATGCACTTTTGTGGTCGTCAACAGACAGGCCCTCTGCAATACATTGTTGGCGTTTTCTCGAGTCCGGGAGGACATCGGGCCTCGCCTCGGTGTTCCTTAGCTTGGACGCACGTGTTGCTCTTACCACAGCTGACCCGCAACGCCAGTGACGTGTTATTGGCATTCATCTCCTAAACATCACGAATGCCCAAACAATTTTTCAAGGCGCTGTGGAGGGGGCGTTCGAAAGTGTCCTTCCAAACGCGGGATACTGGCGCTCCTTCTGGCGTTCTGTTGATTTCGTCGGGGGAGCATGATATGGGCCAAACGCTTTCTCAATAGGTACACTAGCGGGTTTTCCACCGACACGTCGTTCCCGAGCAACGATCCCAAACAAGCCTAGCTCCCGAGCTTGTGTCCGGCTTCAAACTCTCCGCCCGATGCGAGCATCAAACACGCTCGCCAATATTCCGACTACGTCCCCCCCGGAGGAGCTTGAATGGAAGTTTGGGCGCCTCGCTATTCGCAGGGCCCGTTCCATCGGGGTTGAAGTTACGCCTTCATTTTTCGCCCTGAGGGAAAGGAAAGGGGTCAGCACAAATTTGCTCTGGTTGAGAGGTCTGTTGGCGTGTGCTTTCTGATATCAAGGCATTTGCTGAAAGGGAGTTAGGTTTGGGCTGGACCTGTATTTTCCGGGCCCAGGGTTGCGCTTGCGGTGGTAGTAGAACTGAAATGAAACCAGCTAGACAAGCCAGGCCCAGTTCTAAGCGAAGTACACAGGGTGCCACTGTCCAACTGTGAAGCACGAATAGGTCCTTCGTTGGGGAGCGAGTGTACCTCGGTATCATTACGGGTTCAGTACACGGCATGGTATGGGTTCGCCGCACCACGGGCAGCAGTATCTGCGCTGGTTAGCGGCACCCGTTGAGCGAAAGCCCTCAACAAATCGGAGGAAAGGTATGAAACTGCACAAATATTACTGTAGGCAACGTACACTACGGAAAGCAATTTGAGTGAGCAAGTTGAAAACACACGGGAACCAAGTTTCAAGTTACTTTTGCTTGGTTTCCCTTCGTACCTGTCTTCGCTAGCTGCGCGCGCCCAACGGAAGACTGCACGAAGGTATTGAGCTGCGTCCTCTCCACGGCTTCCAAGTACTCCAAGAAACCTATTTCACCGCCCTTTGTTGTCAACCCATTGGGACGAAAACAAATGTGTTAGTTTCTTACATGGCCGAACATCCTACCACCCCTGCGTTGCTTGGTGGATTTACTGTAGGGGTGCGCAAGCCAAAACGTTCCTGCCGGTGAGATCGGTTCGGTCGGGTGATATTCCCTATCTCGTGCCGGGGTCAGGCAACAGATATTTTTCCCAATGGACACGGACCTCTATCTGAACACCAAATCAACCGCCAAGGCAGCGGGCTTTGGAAGAAAACAGTAGATCGGAAAATTCTCCGAGGCGCCAATCTATTGAAGCTATTCATCCCTTCTTTGAAACTGAAAAATATCGCCGACGCTGTGGCGAAAAGTGTTTCCTTTGGGATCCTTTCATGGAATGGGCGCCCCCGTATCTATTCGGTGGTACAAGTATCAAAATGTGTGCCAATGCTCTGTCTTGTCTCTGGTATGTCCTCCACAATACGTGCTGTAATTAAAACAACCCTGAAATTACACCCGGATCACGTATGGAAACCCTAACAGTGTAGAAGCTGACGTCCAGGATGGATGGGACGCCTTACACCCGCATGCACAGACTCCCGCTGAGCTGGATATTTGCCCGTTGGAATACATGAAGATGGCCCGTTGTTCGTGTGACTTGCCGCACAATCTCCCACAAACGGCCTTCCCATATCTACAATAGATGGCGTCCTAGTACCTTCTTTTTTTAGCCTCAAGTAGTCCCTCCCTCCGTCAACCTATGCTCGTGCAACATTCTATCGTAAAACACGGACAAAACCACGTCATTGCAATATTCTACGTGGTATCAGTCACGCTCGGACCTTCCCGCTTTCTCCGAAGTTCGTAATGCGCAGGGCATGACACCTCGTTCAAACACTTAAGCGGACATAAATGAGTTTGAGCAAAAACAATTCGGGGCTACAACTGCAGGACGTTGCATCATCTGGTTGTGAGCTCCGCATAATCACTTGAAACGTTGTTACTGCGCGAAGAAGGGAGAGGGGACCATGCACAAGCCTCACCTGCGTCCCCGTCTCTCGCATGCCTTCCCCGAACAGCTCCTTCAGCTTCGCTTCCATCTTGGTTCGCCCATACCTATCGGATCGTCAGCGATAGTGACGACGTTGACGGGAAACGGCCGGCCGTCATAGCCGTATTCGTACGCCATGTAGAGGTAGGTCGCTATCATAATAACATTATCCAGTTGTTTTCCATTCGCCAAACGCACAGCTTCACCCGTACGGACAAGCACGGGGTCAACGGACCGCCAGCGTGTGGGGCAAGAAACGTCTTGGTGAGAAACAAACGTTGAAACCCATGCACGAGCTATCCCAACTCGAACCGACGCGGCCATCGGTCATTCAGAACATTATGTAGAGCGCATCACGCTTGCGGAGTTGTAATGACCGAGTATGACTTTGGACGTGGTGTGCTGCGGGATACGACAATAAGGGTACGTGTTGAACCGTGTGCTTTCATGCTTGAGAGCTGAAGGTGTGACCCAACCGCAAACGTGCTACAAGTCGGGGCTGATATATGCAGCAACATGTAGGCGCATCTCACACCTCCCTCATTGCGCATCCAGTTTCCCCAGCAATGGGCTAAAAATCCGTCTCCTCGATCAACAATGCGTCGCTATGTAACCGCTTGCCTCATCAACGCGAATCAACGCCTCGCTAGGCTGCTGTGGTGCATAGAATCTCGTTCATCCTGCATTCCATAGCGGTATGTGGTCCAATACAGAAAGCCTCAGCTATTTTCTGAGGTTCATATAGCCTGCGATTGTCCAGCATGCAGCCGTTAAGATTTTCCTGTATTTTGTGCTTGCCTGGCGTAGAGCATATTCATGGTCTCGTCCACGGACACATTGACGTTGTTGTCCACGTCGTACAGCATGAACTGCACCATGTTGTACAGCTTTGCCGGTTCGAGGCCCGTGTGGTCGTTGATGTTTCGGAAGAACATGAGCTTAAACTCGTCCCTTTCACGCGTTGCAGCAAGAGACCGTGGGAAAGGGCGAACGTTTGTTTTTTAGGGCGTGCAACCAAGGAACGCAATTCAAACATGCATCACTCTACTGCAGATTTGGAATGCAACACATTCGGTGTCCTGCATGAATGCACGATCTGAAAGAAGAATTTTTGCCTCATACGATGTTCCGCTTTCAGAACCATGTGACAATCAAATCGAGGGCTGGCAGCTTCGTACAACGCACACCCTTCGCGAGGTATCGTACTGAAGTTACCGACTTTGCAAGGGAACTCTCGTGGCTGCTCTAGGGGTGTGCGAGTGAACGCGGTGTCCTTGGAAGCCTTGGTGGAACGCTCACCGCACGCTCACCAGCCATTTAGTCATTCAAGCGTTCGCCAGCCCTGCATGCAAGTCCTGCCACATCTTTCAGTCCTCAGTTTAAGAAAGTACAGTCGGCTACATGAAATTGTGACTCGAGGGAGCATGCGCAGTCATACTTAAGTTCGATGCCGTGCTGCGTCCCTCACCAGTCTACCAAGCCGTCCAAGTTCTCGTCCACTTCCCAAACAATGTCCGTTACTTCCTTCTTCGTGCACTTCTTCCCTAAAAACTTCATGTGCTCCCAGATGTCCTGTCAGTACGATTTTCAGTCAGCGAATGGCTATGGGGTGTAAAACACGCCTACTAGGAAACGATAATTTGCTGTTAGGAAACGACGATTTGCATTTACCTTGTTGTATGCTCCGGGTGAAGTTGCAACTGTACGGGCGTATACCGCAAAGCTCATGTGCAACTCCTTGCAGCATAATGGCAGGTGTTCCAAGCGTCTTTCAGGCATGCTGGCATGGCAGAAATGGGAAAAAGGACTTCCATCACAATGATCGACCCTACCGCCCCAAGGCCGCTTACCACTGCGGCCCATAGAGGTCTACTGATGGTGTTTGTCGTATGACTCTACGCTCACCACGGCTTTGATCTTTTTATCTGGATTGTTCTCTAGGCGGACGATTTCCTGCTCCAGTGCGCGAATTTCCTCGTTGAGCCTGTTTTCCTGTTGGAAAAAGAAATATATAACGTCAAACGCGGCGACCCCACCGGTGGCACGACTGAAACACCTAGCACCACGGTGGAGGTTTCAGTAGTCTACGCAGGTTTTCTAAGTCCAAGCAAACATGCTGGATAGAGCAAACAATCGGCTAAGTTAGGAGTAGGGTCCGCGTGCCCCCTGTCTGATCTTTTTTCGGAATATACTTACTTTATTTTCGTAGGCAGTCAGGAGGCATAAAACATTCTGACAGCTTGTGCTCAGGGAGCGTGTACGTATGCGTATTTTCTATTTACTTGGTTTCCCGGAACAACACGTAACCAACGGTCATTGGAAATAATGCATCAACGAGACGCAGTCCGAAACATCGTTTCCTCATATAGGTTGCCGAAGTCTTTCGCCGCGCGAAAATCGTTCATTGGACAGCGTATTTCGCCCACGCTTCGCCGTAATGGGGACTGATTAACCCCAATCGTAACCACGCTTGGGTCTTTGACTGGCCTAACTCGGCTGTGGAACCGTTGGTGATAACCCTTACTATTACTCTAGAATATCCCCAAACATCCATTCATGATTGCCTTGAGAGCTCAATCAGGACTACTGTAGGTGCTTTAAATGTCCAGTCCATTCAGGGCCTGTTCAATGCTTTCCACGCGAACGGGGGTAAGCCGGTCTTGCCTTAGAACGGTAGGGTATCGGATGTCTCAAGTGCTGTATGTAGTGCAATGTGCAGCGTGGGGATGGGTAAAGATACTGAAATGAACGAAAGTATGAGGCAAGCTGGTATCATGTTCCAATACCTGTGGCCCTGAGGTCTTCAACTGGGCGCAGTAGGTGCTCTGCGCGAACTCTTGAATTTGTCGAGCTCTACCTCTGAGTCATTGTTGTGTACGGAGGAGCATGTAGTTGTGGATCGCTACTCGCCGACTTCCACCAGGCTAACACGAAATACAAGGTTGTCACGCCATGTGGCCATGTCAGTTCTCGCGTACCTCTGCCTTTACGTTCGCATCGTTGGCTGCCAGCTTCGCCTGCTTCGACTGTGGTGCGGCCGAAAGCGCCTCCACCTTTGCCTGCAAGGCGTGGATCTCCTTCCGAAGCCTGTGGTGACATGAGGAGAAAGTGACGGCTAACATAACGTGTATTGTAAGCGATCCACAGTTATCAGTTCCTGCTGAGACCTAGTGTCGTGTAGACCGAAACGGCGAAGGGACAAATTAACAACCGTTACGTCCCACAGCGAAGTTTGCTGAAAGAAATGAGGCCGACATGTTGAAAACTGAAACGGAGCCAAGGCTGGGCGTTGCCTGGAACTGAAGAAAGTTTGCCTCTCGCTCGTTTTCGTCCGAGCAAGAGGTACAACGAGTATCAATCATTGGTTCTTCTCGAGATTTGATCTTCACACGTTCAGGCGATGCTGCAGGCGTGCGCCAGGTGCGCAAAGGATCGGGGCGATCATCCTCTACATGTCAATTACGGTATGGCACCTACAAACTGAAAGGGGGTTCGAGCTGTATTGTGCGGCGTGTTACCTCGGGAGGGGGCGTTGAATCACACAACCAATACAGCTTGTGTTCGTATCCAAAATACGGCGCTACGTCGTACCAACAACAGCAATAAACATGCGCTGCAGCAGTTAATTGAACAATACAGTGATCAATTACAAAGCGTCGTGATCAACATAAACGTACAGCAGTAGAACGCTCGTGTTGTTTCTCCGCCTGGGATATACGAGAATCGGGCGGCCCCGGTTGCCCGAGAGGGCTAATGCTTTGGTGCTTTGCTACATAGACCACAGCACTGGCTGTTTGAAAGGCTTGTCACGGGCGTGGCGACATGGGGCTGCAGCCACTACTGCGCCGAGTGGTTAGCATGGTCCAAGGCTACAACAGTGTTGTTGTAGTACATTGTATGCTGATGTGGGGGGTTCCGAAGGACAGGGCCGCGATCGAACGCATGTACTGCTCGACTACTGTGTAGATTACAGGACAGCATATAGTCTATCTAGTCTACACCAGTATGCGTAGCATACGAGGCAATGTGAACGCGAATTAACTTTTTCTCAGAAAAAACAGGCTAAAGTGACCATATGGGCGATGTTGTTGGCTCACACGCGCATCCAGTCAAACTTCAGCAATGGGTTTAGTTGGGTAGGAACGGCACTATCTGTCTTGCATCCCCTTGCTTACTTTTCCTTTTGGCTGAAGTCGCACAGACGATGGTACACTCTTCTCAGACCTTTGTCCTCCTGTTGTGAAATATTGATCACTTCGTCTTCCTCAACCATCTCCTCCCAGGATATCGGGTATGGCACAAGCTACTCCGTTCTTGTGGTCTAGGAGGAGAGAGGGCTGTCGCTCGGCGCTCTTCTATCTACTGCTGTCCATGCGAGGGTTGGTTCATGAGTCATGAAACAGTTAAAATTCTTGGTCGCGCCGCGTTTCGTTTCGGGCGGACCTCGCACGCTCGCGTTGTTGTAATTTCTCCGCATTTCACGCAGCAGGGGCAGAGCGCACGCGGGCAGAGCAGCAAGGAACCAAGGAAGGAAGGAAGGGTGCGACGGGGGCAAAGAGAAATGGAGATTGAGTATGGGGACATCACGAGCGACGAGGCTGTTGGCTTTTGCCTGCCGGATCCTACGAAGGCCAGGGAAGACACCCTGAGCTTGCTGCAGGTATACACAACAACTAACAGAGGCGTGCCTGCTGCTGTCAAGCATCGTGTAAGCATAAGCCACAACGTCGTCGGGACAAATATCCCCCGCGGATGTGCAACACTTCTACTTAGGCGCAGCCTGTTGGCATGGGCACGCGGAATTTCGTTGAAGCTGCGCTCGGCCCACTCTCACCTTGGACCCTCCGCTGGCCTCGGTCGCGGGCTGATGCAATACTGCTGTACCACGACCTACCCGTCAACCGCTTTGGTCTTGCTCAACAAGCTTTGAGTCCTCACTATTGTTTTTCAGACCAAGGTTCCGCTTGGGAGTCACTTCTAGTTAGTGGACTCGCCAAGCTTACATCCCGGGGGCGATGCAAGAGGACACGCCCAATGCCATCACGGTTGCATCGTCGAATCTAAACGTTGGGCAGTACAGGTTTTCCGCACAACCCGCAGAATTTATTTGCGTTGTGTGCGGGGTATTTTTTTGTTGTCGCGGTGACCTTTCCGCGTGTACGCGATATGTATGTCTTCGGCGCAGATCTTACGGCTGTAACCGCCGCGTTATTTGATTACTCGCTCGTATGTGTTGGTAGCTCACGGTATACAGAACGCGCCACCACTTAAGAATTCAAGAGTTGGGGAAATTGAGCAAAAAATAACAAAATTTAAGAACTTGAAAATCGTTTGTGAGCTCGGTTAAAGCCCTCCACTACTGTGCGTAAGACCTATTTAGAGACAATTCGTAGATTCGTAGCATGACCAGTAACAACCCCAGCCCCGGCCGAAACTATGAAGAGGTTATTAAGTGGTGGCGCGTTCTGCATGTGTATGCGTTGCGCAGGAATCAGAAGTCTTCCTGATCATGAAAAGAAAAGTGTTTCGTTTTCTCGCAAAGGCTTGTTTGAGCCTCCCCGCGAAATAGAGCCAGTCGCGGCGGCTTAAGCGTCGATTGCACATGGCACGGATGCCTGGCGGTTCCCGGGCATGGGCAGTAGCCTAACCTCGAAAAATATGGATATTGGTATGGAGTTTATCATTACCGTAGGTTGCATCAGGTATCACAACCGTTGGGCCGATTTTCAAAGCTCGATTACTCCACAGCATAAACAGGGGCGGTGCTGAATCTGGCGGCGTTGAAACCGTCCCGTCGAGACATTTCCGGACACGTATCACTGATTTCGGCATCATGTTCGTCGTGGAGAAACCAGGCCTTGAAAATCGGTCCAGGGGGTGTGTTATCTTACGTCATGTAACCTGCTGTACAAGGCTCGGGAGATAGGTGGCTTGCCTCCCGAGGGCTACACAAGAGGACATGGCCGATATCATCGCGGTCGCACCGTTGCATCTCAACGTCATGGTGCCGGTTCTGCGTGCAACAACCTGCAGAATTTCCTGGAAATCGAATCATGTACGGGGCTTTGTTTTCTCGCCGTGACCTTTCGCGCGTGTGTGAGAGTGTGCTTCTAGGCTAGTGGCTGCAGATCATGCTGCTTTTATCTTCTATGTTTGATCATTTGCTGTTTTGTATTTGTGTTGCCCATGGTCTGTGGGACTTGTGTGCGTTATGCTGGAATGTGAAGGCTTCCAGTTTTGTGCAAAGCCGTTCTTTTTACGTCGCGCGGAATACATCCCCGGGGTTCTGAGCCATTATTGATTACCATCGGCGTCAAGCACACGCGCCACGGGTGTCTGGCGGTCCTCGACCGTGCGTGGTAATGCACCGGCGATCCCCCTGCGTGCCCCTGAGAAGGAAGAGTGAGAAAAGACTCGCTTCCGCCAGCTGAACATGTCCCGAAGCACGAAAACAAGCGAAATGGTTTCCTTTTGCCGGGTCGCGTCCTGCTCTCTGGTGTGTCCAATTAATGGTTCAGAGTTGCCGTTTGAACCAATTCCTATCGTTCTTACGGCTTGCGGATGGCAAGAATGTACCCAGCACGCCTCGGGCATATCGCGCCATGCGGTGCGCTGTGTCAAGAGCGACCCGCGCTGCATCACCCGGCATGGAGCGGTTTCACTTTGCGTATATTCGAAGGTTGGGTTGTCTTAGTCACGTGCAAAGACGTGGTCTTCGATGTGTCAGACTTACGCACTACTGACAAGAGCGTGCTCTCGGTGTTACGAACTCAAATTGTTAGCCTCACAGTACCTTACTGCATCTAAATACCACCAAACGAAGGGCACCAAATTCCGCCGCAGGTGCGTTGACCAATCAGCGAATTGCGTGCCACAAATGGGTGGCTTTTTCATTGTGATTGCTTCTACTTCTCCGGAGAGTATTGTAGCCAGACCAAAGTGGTTGAAGCCCAGCAAGCTGTCCGCGCGGCGGGACGTTTTTTTTCGAGCTGATGCCCACCCTCACCAACTCTAGTCTGAGACACCAAGTTCCTCGCCGTCTCTACCGCCGGTCACACGAAACGCACCTTACTCTCCCTCTTCCTTCCCGTGTCTGACGACGGTCAAACGGGAGGCGCCATACGCACAGCTACGGGGTGGCTTCGCCATTGCTGTTGGAGCAGTCCGTGTCAAGAATTCACCAGAAACCCAAAACAGCGGCAGGGAATACTACGAGCGTACGCCACGGCTTCTAGAGCCCGTGGCCGGTACCAATAAAAAATATAAAGTCGACTGCAGCGTAAACACGCACACAGGTTTGGGCTCCAGTAGATCCATATGTGCATGTCTGTCACGATCTCTGCGCGAGCGTATGTTGTGTCTGTGCGAAGTCAATCGTGTGTAAGGCCCGTTGTTATCATGGCTGTTTTTCCCGACTTTCCTAATTCCAAAATTTGGCAGCCATCGAAAACTTTGTAAATTTTTCTAAAAAATTGAAGGGACCAGGGCCCCAAAATTTTGGAATGGTAGCTTCCATTTTTTTTGTTTTTAATCCAACGTTATTGCCTTCGAACTCGCCGCGCAAAGTTTCTAAATTTGGAGCCATTCCAAATATTTGGGGAAAAAGTGCTCTGTTTAAAACAAACCTAAGGCCCAGAACACTTGCCGTTCATTTACACCGAACACACCTATGGACAGCAGTACCTACCGACGCCTTGCACCTCGACCTGCATTTTTACAACCTGCGGGTATTATGCCAAGACCGGCCCCCCGTTAGGTGGGCGGGCGAAGCACCCCTCGTCAACAAAGTGACACAGACTGTAGACCGTTGCAAAAAACCCACAAACTCTAAGAGATTGTTCGGGGGGGTTGCCGTTAAAAGAAATCATATCTGCACGTCTATCTTGTAACCAACTTGATCTTGACGAATGACGGGCTTTCCCCACGTGCAGGCGATGATCAGGAACCGATGCGAGAATTTTGGCGACGGGCTTTGCAAGGAAAGCAGAAGCATCAAGGTTCTTCAGGACTATCTCGAGGCACACGGGCTGCAGACAGAGCGTCACGCGAAACCAGAACGGCCAGAACGCCACAACATTCTTTGTGCGTGAAACTTGTTGTGTGGGTGGCACTTTCGCATTTTCCTTCCGGCGTGTGTTTCGGGTCGTAGCCACCAACTACTTCAAGTAGGAATGACGAGAAAATATGACGACCACGGCGCGGCTGTGGAGTCATTTAGGAGTCGTCTCCAATCCCGGGTAAGCTTTGTGGGCATGTTCTTTGTATTGGGATTATCTTGCACCACTAAAGACAAAAATGAAAGACCTAAAGTGCGTTTCGTTTGGTTGGGATTAGGGGTACATATAGTGTATGGCACCTCTCGGTTGCATCAAAGCTACAGTGCGAGCTCCCGCGCGAGCCAGTCCGCTTCTTCAGACAATGCGCGCGTGCCGTTCATCATCATGTTGCCGCGCCCCCTTGTGTTTTGTTTTGGATGCGATATATGCTCTCGAGCAGCCAGCATCGGGTCCGGCTCCCCCAGAGTGATGCTTGGCCCGGCACACGTGGACGTCGTCCCCGTCACCCCGGATGACGCCTCCCAGGTTCCGCCGGTGTACAGCGGCTGGGACGAAGATCCCTGGTCGGGGACGGTGACGGATGGCGAGGTGTTCGGGAGAGGCGCGGTGGGTGCCTAGTGCCTAACCTCATCTGATGCCGTGTCACTCTGGTCCAACTCATTTTTTTTTGTCTTTTCGTGCATTACATGTGGCGTGTTGTGCAGCATCCTGGGTCCTCAAGAAACTGTGCAATACCATACGTAGATGGTATGTTCTGACGGGGAATAAAGGTAGGGAGAGCGGCAAATGGTCAGGTGTTTGGCAGCGGAGCCATGAGCGGAGGAGCTCGTGACTAGAATGGACTCTTGATCACAAGATATCTATGCCGAGGACATGTCGTGAAACCGACCCCGCAAAGGGTTTCCTGTCAAAGATCGTCTGGGGGGGGGATGTTGTACCTGCGGTGAATATGTGCAACGATTGCAGGACAAATGTGAGCCTCAAACATCTCCCCTGATTCGTTCCTCTTGCTGTAATTTGGTATCCTCCGCAGGTTGATATGCTCAACACCGTAGCAGCCATGGCAGTGGCATTCGTAAGCATCAAGGAGAGCGGTAAGCCTGACTGGAGTCGAGCGTGTTGTACACGTTTGTTTCCCACACACACCTGTTGCTGTACTGTTATAACCCTAGGATACGAGGTTACATGCCACCGATAGCTTATGCACTCGAGTACCCAGGGGAAGGGGGCTATATAACAAATAGAAGAGAGAGAAATGTTGAGAGATACACGTTCCCGTGGGAAACAACGCTCACGGAGGATCCGCGTCACAAATTTTGCAAGGACACAAAACAAATGAACTAGTGTCGTGTTGGCAGAAATACCGGTGGTAATCTCGCCGTAGCCCTACAATGCAAGACGCTTATTGTCGTTTTCTTCCGCTTGTGGAAAGCTGCTCAATCAGCTAGTTCAACAACTCGAAATGGTGGATGCAATTTTGCATTTTGGTTGAGGGGGTTCCCAAATATCTTATTTTTTGTTGTTCTACATGTTGATGTTGATATTGATGTTGTTGTTCCCTTTGGTTTGAAAGGTAGTATTTCCTTTCCCCAGCCGGCCACTACACTGTGTCAAACCCTGGACAATTGAAAGCTGGCAATACGTTCAAGTATTGCATTGCATTCTTTTGTGGTTTTGAATGACGCAGGAGTGGCGCTAAACGGGACCCTTTTGTTCTGTGCCGTGAGCGACGAGGAGGCTGGGGGGGAAGACGGAGCCAAGTGAGAGTCTAGGGGGGTGCGAGAGCGGGGATTGGGACCAGTGGTCCCTATGTTATGTGCCTGTTCGAAACAAACCGGCAAGATACGGAGTAGGTAGAGAGAGGGACCCTTTCAGGTGATACAATCAAAACCTTGGTAAAGATAAACCTTGTGATTTGGTTGAGCTGGTTCATGATGGCAACACCCAACAGCAGTAACTGCCGACAACTTCCACAAAGACAAGGATTTAGATTATATATGCAGGTAGCAAGGAATGAGGATGGGGCTAGGATAGCAGAATCAGTAGCCGCTAGGAACAGCAGCTATGCTTTGCGTACTCGATCGTTTTGCGTGCCTTCTCGGATTCCGTGTGTAGTTTTTCGATGCTTGCACGCACGGGACCAATGAGCAACGATCCGACCAAACGCGTGAAGGTTTATCTTGAGCGATCCGGGACTGAAGCATCTGTTCAACGCCGACTACTGCGTCACGGAGCTTGGGGGAGCGTCTATCCCCGACTTCAGGCTGCGGCCCACGCTGTCGTTTTTCCAGAGCACCGCAGAGAAGGGTGGGAGCATCGTTATGTTGTTGCTGAATTGTGTTCTAAGGCTGTTTTGACTTGGAAGTGGGCGTTATTTTCTTGTGCTAAGGGGTACGCCTACGGCTGGCCTCCGTGACGAGTTTGAAGTCCGTTGGAAGCTTCCCTCGTTTGCCTTAAGTGTGCACGACATAGAGAGGGGACCCGCATTGTATGTCAAAGCACCGCATCTAGCGGCACGATCATTCACCAAGTCTCAGATATTCCGCTGCACATGTACCCGAGGTCGATTACGGTTGACAATGCTACATTCTACTATAGTGCTGCTGATGGTACTCCTGTTTGGTGTATCGTAGTAACCACGTCGCAAATCTCCAAATTTCATCGCCGATACTGAAAGGCACGACCAAGGTGGAGGTAAAGCTAAGGGGGAGACCAGGCCATGGCTCTGTTCCCAGGGCCGCAGACAACGCGCTTGTTAGGGCCGCGGAGGTGGTGATGCGGGTACATGCCTACAGCGCGCCCACGGTCATCACACCAGGTGAGCTGTCACAGATCTGGAGTTCGTACACGTCAGATCGTGTTCCCGTGTGTTGCTGTGTTGTCGTCGTCGCGCGTATCGGAGGACCGTGCCAACCGTGCTAACCGTGCTAACCGTGCTGGGAACGCAGAATCAGTGTGGTTGGGCAATACACCCCCCATTTGCTGTTTCGCTACCAAGGCCAGTACTGGATGGCTGGGATTCTTTGGGTGTACTATCCGTTAGTTGCATGAAGTGGTGCGCCTCTCCTTACAAGCGGACGTACGCAAACCCGACACGGTCCCCATGCTCACCCCACTACCTGACATTGTATTGCCGTGGGTACCGTTCTTCCCTACCCCACCAACAACCCGTGCTCACGAACGCATCGCCCAGAATGGAAAGGATTCGTGAAAGCATTGCAGCTTCCGGGACCTATAGAGTGGCTGCTGACCTTTCCACCGCTGCTGCCGCTAGTCCTGATGGTTCTGCTCAAGATTGGCAGTCCCATTGCACCAGTGGGGCACGCGTTGACGCGGCTAACGATGTCCCCCAACGCTCTTGTTGGAGCGGTGAAGGACAACGTCGTGCCTGGTGTCTGCACGGTGAGATGCAAAAGGCGTCGTTTCGATTGTCATGGTAGGTGTGTGGTTTGCATTTGTCTGCATATTATCTGCATGTTATCCGTGACATTGGGTTCGTTTTTTGGCGTTGATCGTAACGACCTCATGTCGATGATGTTGTTGCTGTTGTTCTGTTGGAATCCTGCTGGCGGAACGGCATTTCAGCCAATTGCACCTCCGCAGTGTTGAAGCTACAGACTTCAGAGCTTGTCCCTGTTTTCTTGAAATTCCGAGAACGATGGTCGTAACAATCGTCGAATGATCAGTCGGCGCTTAAACCATTCATACTGTGTTCTGGTGCACTTGAACACCTCTTTCTCACCTCACGCATAACTTCATGTGATCACCCGAGCCTGGCTTGTGTTTGCCCGGTTGCACTGCATTGATATATCCAGTCTTCATCGTTAAGGTAACGTTCTCGTGTTGGAATCTTCTCGTAGCAGTATTCTTCAACGGCACTCTTCTGGGTGTTGGCTTCTGGTTAAAGGGTGCGATGCGATTGAACGATTCGGTGACTGTTAATAGGTGGCTGTGGATTGCCGGACCCTGCCTGGCCAAAGCGAGGAGTATGTGTTGGACCACGTGAGGAAGGCGCTAGGGTCCGACATAGCCAGTGATGTCGACCACTGCAGTATTGGAGCACAGTGAGTTGATTCATCGTGCAATCGCTATACCGAATTACGCTCCTCACTTTTCCATGCTCGTTTCATCGTCGGCTGTCTTTGATGCCCCATTCTGCTGTCCATTCAATCTTCCAATTGCATTTTCCCATTCGGTTTCTCCGCCACCGTCGTTAATCCGGTCTAGCACCATAGTCTCACGTGGATGCATTGGATCAAACGTACCGCGGAGGATGTGACCCTGCTTCGCGGTACTGCACTGTGCTTGTCTTTGTCCGCTGCGACCAGTCCAGGCCCTTGTAGCCCAATGCACTGAAGATTAATGTGGACGAAGATGCCAACCTCGGCAGACGCTGCGCTCTAACGGCGACCGAGTTCCGCTTTGGTCGAGTGTTTTCGATTTGGTGCTCGATGCACAGTGCTAACACGTAACAGTGCGCCACCGCTGTGTTCCAGCACACCCCACGATGAATCCCATTCACGTAATATCCACACCATTGTCGAGCAGATCCCACATACCCGCGTCGAGGTCGGAGCCTGACACGCCCTTGTGGAAAGCTATGGAAAAGGCAGCTTCGGCGGTGATCAAAGGCGCCTCACTCGTAAGTTTGGTCATAACCACGAATTCTCTTCGCTTGCCCAAGACATATTGAAGGACGTGTTAGCCCCACGGCTGGCTCTCCGGTGCTAACAATCATGCCCACGTAACCCTGAGCTACGGTCACCACTGGGTACAGGGCTTTGGTGCACACCCGTCGCCCCGCTAGACTCGATTCTGATATCTGTTTCTGGCGCGTCGTATGGAGCGACGAAGGTACTACGGAGTAGTTTCTTCTTCCGTGCCAAGCGTATTTTTGGTACGGCCACACGTCGTTGGTTGGCTGTCCGTCGTAAGATGTTGAAACAAGTTATTCTGCGGTGTGTATTAACCTGGGCGTGGACGACAGCTGCTTTAAACTTTGACACGTGCAAGTGCTTTTCAAAAACCTCGCCCTCACGACCATACATGTGTCATATTTTCTTCTCACGTCGACTCGCCTGCAGGTGCCAGTGATGTTGCCGGGGGGTACGGACTGCAGATATTACCGCGGGATTGGAGGGGCCGTTGCGTACGGTGCCAACCTTCTAGAACCTTCCATGACTTTCGGGTGGGTGGTTTGGCGAGGTATGACGAAAGTGGCGTTTCGTCTAGTTGCGGAAAGCGATGTTTTCGAGCCCCATGGTGGCCGTGGGCGCTGGTTTTGTTATGTATGTTCTCATTCCACATGCCTCACATGGGTGCGTTAGACGCGCTCTGGGGTCATGTGACCGCTCGGCTTCGTTGATGGACACATGCTACTGAAGGTACAGCGGGGTAGGACGGGCGGTCGTCGATGGGGCTAAGGTGTTTACCAAGACTTTTCCAAACATTGGGTACTCGAGATTATCACCGGAGGCCATTTTGCGGAATGCGGAATGCGATGAAACCAGAGCTGGGTAAGTTTTCCAGCCCCGGCCATGCGCTTGCAACGCTTTGCCCTTCATGTGATGCGCGCTTATTTCCAGTGATTTGACAAAGCGGTTCCATGGTGAAAACGAGCGCATTGGCCTGCGGTCGCTTTGGACGAGCGTGCAGTTCTACTCTCTGGTGAGTCTACTGTCACCCTTTCCGGTGTCGCTCAAACCAACTCCATTTGTTTCTGCCCACATTCGTGATTGTTAAGTCATTCTGTTTGGCGTACGTCGGAACCCAAACATCAAACGATCAAGTATCATTTAATTCAAACCGGGGAGCAACTTGCCTCTCCGTGGCTTCTCGTTTGGTGTCTATCCTGCTGTTCATATCGCGCTGATCTGGGTTAGTTTGAGGATGGGCTTGATTTTTCGGTGCCAGTTTAGATTGATTCGTGTTGTCTTCCCATGCTCGGTTGGCTTTCCATCTTCAAGTCCACCAAGTCCATGGTTGGCTACAGCAAGCCCGGACGCCTACAGGTCGGCGTGGTGGTGATTGAAGAAACTGGTTGGTTTTGATGTTCCCCCCACACTACTCCTCTCGCAAGTCCTCCTGTAGAGGGGCTGGCTGGGTACTGCCATCGACACATCCTGACCATTTCATAACCCGTTTGACCCCCCACAGTAAGGTTCAGATGCCTTGCCACTTCGTCACCTCTTGAGAGAAAATGGCACGAAACTCGATTATTGCACTCACGTCCCGCTCTACCTGTTGATCTCTCAGATGGTGAAGAACCTAATGGTTGCCGAGTGATCATGCTTGGCGACGGGATGCTTTAGGTAATTCAAGAACAGGGGTTACGTTTCCTTCCGTTGAATCTCGCCCTGGGTACTCTGCACAGGCTGCGTGACTGGAGGCTTTCGCCAAGAACCCGCGAGTCATTGATAGATCCGAAGAAGGTGTTTTGGCGGGAGACATGGTGCCGCTCGTGCGGCGGACTTTGGCCTTTTTCTTTGCTTGTGTAGAGTGGCCATAGGAGGTCATCAATCACTCTTGTTCGGGAGGGCGAAAAGGTTGAGTTGTGCCTGAGTTGTGCAGCGAATAGTCCATGACGGAGAGTTCGTGTTGCATGTTTGGCATACCGCATAGCAGCAGGGTCGGCTGTACACCCCGTGTTAAGGAAGTGCAAAAGTCACCAACGTTTGGTAACCCTTCCTTTAGTCCGCCTTCCCCAAGAACGGCTAAAAATGTACAGGGAACGTAGGGGTCACGCCCCGAAAAGGAACGGGACACAGCACCAACGCGTCGTAGCGAACGCATGTACGAGGGTTTCATTTCATACATTAGGCCGATCTCCTACGGTTTTGCAGTGGGCTTTATTCAGATTTGAACCTCGATACACTCCCGGCCAACCGATGCCATGAAGTAATAATCAGACTAGTTAGGGCGACAAATGCACCGTATCTTGCAGGAAACGTTTCCCACCAAACCCGTAGCACAAACGCACCGCTGTACAACAGCAGTAGTACGATTCCACCACACCATAGGAATGCCCGGTTGATAGCCCTCCTATCCTACGATCTCCTCTACAACATGGACCCTTGACACGGCCACCAAAAAAAAACAGACACGTGACAACCGCGATACTAATAAACGCTCGGCGAAAGTAAATGGGTGGAAGGAAAGAGATGGAAATCCGATCTTGCTTACTATCGAAATCCCTGCTGTAACAACCCGGGCCGCTCTTTCGTACAGCCCGCGTTCTCTATCCGTTTGTCTTCCTTAAGAGGAAAATTCGTACGATTGCAGCAAGCATGGTGAATGTGTCGAGCCTATCCACCCTGGAAGAACATTAAAACAATCATATTTCAGTTTTGGATCTCAACACGTTTCTCTCCCAAGGCAAACATTGTTGATTGCTGCTGCCTTCACGCCAATACTGCTCAGCCCTCAGTCCATTATCAACATACGCCGCTTGGATGATGGATAAATTACACGTAAATGGCGTCTACAGGCTTGAGCAATCATATCTCAACAACGATCCCGCGCAAAACACCGCAAAAACAGAGCGCCAACAAGCTTGGACCGAGGGCGCTGAAAACAACTACCCGCCACAGCCTCCTTTGCCCCACAATCAGACCACACGGCAGCCTCGCCCGCGTCCATTAAGTAACAAAAACGTTCGGACTCGGCCGGTTCCCGACAGCGAAAGTCGTCTACTTGCAGCCGTGTGTTGTCTTACTCGTGGGGCAGAGAGCTACCTGCCACAAACCTTCCTCCTCCTCCTTCGCTAACCTGGAAATACCGTCTTCGGCCTTCACGATGCCGTTGTCGCACCATGAACACCCGAAACCGGCGCACGCGTCGCACGTAGCGGTAGCGGCGGTCTTGTTGCTGTCAGCGCTACTGCTTCTGTTCTTGGCGGATGCAGACGCAGCCAATGCTCGCGTTAAGCCCACCCAGTCATCCTCTCGCAAGGTACAACGTCGCGCATCGCCACTATTTGTGCCGCAGAAATAACCAGTCTTCTTCGCCGTCTCTGACTTCCACACCGCCGGTACGCACTTGAAGACCACCGCCTTTGGTTGGTCTTTTGCATCCGTTTGGTGGACGCCCGTGTTGCTGCCGTCTCCGTGTTTGATCTCCTCGATGGGGAGGGAGAGGGAGCTGCAGATGCCTTCCGCGTGCTCCTCGTCGCGTGCCCGCAATATTCTCGCGACGTCGGCCTGCACAATCAATTACCAATCGAATGCATATTTCTGAAAAAGAAGTGTGGTGCCAAAGAGTCAGACCAGCAAACAGGAGAGCGGAGAGGGGTACATCATGCGGATTTCGAATCACCACATCAACTAAAGTGTTCAGGGAGAGAGCGAGGTGTCAGGAAAGGGAAGCGCGGGGGGTACTCGCCCGATTATTCCATGCTCGAAAGCCTGGCCGCAGTTTGATCGGGTGAATGCGCCGGCAAGCGCATTGAGTGGGGGTGATGTGTACATTAACCTGCCCACTTCCGACTATATATGTGCGTGAAAGCACCTCTTGACCACGACGGGGAGAACCACGGTAAACCATCCATAATAACGGGCCTCATACTGCGTGTACGATCAAGTCATGGACAACCAGCCGGCGTGCAGGCGTCAGAGGCGAGAGTTATGGGGGCGGAAGAAAGCCGCTGTCGACTGCAACGAGCTGGGAGAAAGATGCCACTTCTCAAGAACTAATTCCAACAAAGAGAGCCACTTACCAACGGAACCTTCTCGCTTTTTCCGTACGCCTTGTTCATAGCTCTCAGCGCGTGGGCCCTCACGGGCAGAAGCATGCCGTGGCATACGCACCGAAGGCGAACGGCAAAAGGGGATGAAGCGTGCTCACCCCCGACCAGCAGCGTCTTGCCCTCGCGTATTGCGTCGTCGTTAGGTTTCGGCGTGAAATCGCCAAGTAGCCGGAAGAACTCCGACCAATTCCCGTCGCGCACCACCGCCAAAATTCGAACTGCCGTCGCCATCTATCATCCGAAGGCAAAAAGGGAGTAGGGTTAGGTTTGGGGGTGAAACGAAATCCATATTTATTTGGCTGGAGGTGTGCTTTGCAAGAGCATCGGGGAGGTCCATGACGGGGTCACAATCCTTCCAATAGATATCCTGCAAGAGCAACGGCAAAACACTTCGGCGGCATTCTTGGGATGCACAAACGTATTGTGGTATTCCACTTTGTACCGAACGGCCGTTTTTTTTTTCATGACCCGATCGGGGTCAAGGGAGAAGTAGACGCAAAAAAAAAACAAAGGTACGCTTCGGGGTCCAGGGAAGAGAAGGACCGATGGACATATAGGCATGCTCGGCAGAGGCTAGTGAAAGAAAGGGGTGGCTACCGAAGCAGTTTGATCACCTTCGGGAAGGCTGTTCTGAAAGACACGGGGGCTGGTAGTATTCTACCCTCGACAGGGTTTGTCACTGCAGTCGAAGAGATACCAGCATCCTCGCCTTCTCCGTCGCACGGGTTGGTGGGTGACAGCAAGGAGAAAGACGAGCCGCTGCTCAGCTTTGAGACCGTAGTGGTGAACAGCCTGCCGACACCTGAGTAGGTTGGTACACAACGGAAGCGCCGAGTGGGCCTGATAATTTCACCGGTAGTCCATCTCAAAAGAGGCGTCAACACGACGAGCACCCCGTACACATGTAGTGCTAGTGCAGACAGGGCCTAAGAAAAAACAAACTAGTGGGAGAAGCTTTTGGGTTCAAAGAAAGAAACATGCTATAAGCAACAACCCAAAGCTGTTGCAAGTCTCATCGTTGAAGGCCAACGTGAATCCACGTGGTTTCACGTGATGGCACGTTGTACGTCATGGCGTCATGTTCTTCGTATGTACGAGACTACGTCCCTGAACAAAAACACGCAGTTGTGTGCTACTGAAAGCTTCATTTACCACACCAAATAGTCGGGATAACATGCAAGAAAAAGAGAATCGAGCCTTCCGACGGGGCTTGAACTCTGTGCATTCCTTGGGGAAGGTGATACATACCACACACCTTGCTCGCCGGCCGCGTCCCCAAGCTGTGTGCCTCCCCCGCTAGAGCTGTTCCTGTTTGAGATTGCTGTCGCCAAGGCGTGCACCGCTTGCAGGCAAAGGTACTCGTCCACCCCAAGGTGGTGATGCTGGTGGTGATTCAAGATTTGAGAAGGGAGTTCCGCCCTCGCTCCCTGCATGCCGCAAGCAGGCCAATGGGGAGAGGGAGGGGGGATAAGCGATTCCGCGCGTCTACTGGCTAAACCAGCAACAACGGCACTTCCCCCGCCACCCGTGAGATTGAGAATGTCAAACTAAATTGATCATTGCCACGTTCACTCTCGTGATGTCCGCGGGCCGGATAGGGTGAGCTCAATGTTGCGAGCACGATTGTCATCCCCCAAAAGGCTCCGTGCCCCCTGCCGACCCCAGCAACGACTTACGACCACAATGACAACCCTCCCGTACCTGGAAGAAAAGCTCCGCCAATGAAGAGAAGACTCCCTGCAACTCTCGCGTGTGTAGATGTCGGTCGAAGACATCTGTCGCCTGGCAAAGCGACCGGGCGAACGGAACAGATCCGACACGGCATACGGCATGTCAGCACCGGCGATGGCGACAACCAAACCACCAAAAACAGATACCCCACCCTTGTAGCGAACAATGAACTGGTTGCGGCAGCACGTGTGCTGAAATTTGTTTTCGTGTGTTGGTGTTGCACTGTCCCAGCTATTGAAGGATTGACAGATAGCACTCTACAGCACTCCGTCCGCACCACGTTCCACAAGAGCACGGGGTGGAATATTATGAATGTGATTTTCTGGTTGGCGTTCAGCCTCCTGCTGGCTAAATGCCACACCATTCTTCATCTATCCCGAGGTGTCATCCACATGGCTCGTTGGGAGCTGACTTACCAACCTGGCACGTGTTACCTTCACGACGCACAGGAGCAAAGGATCCCAGAAATAACACACTGAGCCCCGCCATGTTTCACGAGCGCACCCACAAAACGTTTTGCGCAAAACTTATCCTTGCCTCGTCAGACATGAGGTACCCCGCCAAGATGTAGAAGTTAGCCGTGGTTTGGAGGACTTCCGCCGCCCCTGTCGTCCCTTCCAACGCCAGTCCTTGCACCGTCAAGTCCTGCCGCACCGCTCGAAGCCTATCCTCCACGAACATGTACGCCTGCGCAACGAGAGACGTGGAATTTCCTCCTCGATCTCGTCGCGGCTGGCTGCTGACGCTACTACTGCTGCTGCAGACTACGGCGAAGACATCTCGAACCAGGTATTGTGTCGTGGTCTGCAAGACCGAGAGAGGCCGGAGTAGCTCGGGGCTGACGACGTTGGGAGCGGGGGAGAGCGCCAAGTGAGTTAAAAACAACGCTCATCAAGCGGAGTGAAAACAGCGCATACAACACTAATCTTCGCTATCAGATGTTGGCTACTATTACCATATTGTTCTCTGAGGGATATCATTGGCCTAGCGTGGTGCCTCCTGCCTATGCTGCCGTTGGGGCGAGGCATGGGAAAACGCCACGTTGTGAGAGACTACGTAAAGGTTAGCGGGGTAACACGGGGGCGCACTTCTTCGTTGTTCCTGTCGCTGTCCGCCACCCCTCAAACAACAAAGGCACGTACTACCCAATAATAATGGCCTTCCATTTTTTTTATCAGCAGAGGATATTGACATCGTTGTGCTTGATTCGACCAAAAACGCGTCATACCTCCAAGGCAAGCAACTCGACACGACACTCGGAGCCTCGGAGAGGAAATTCGTCCTGCTTGGGACGAGATCGGAGTTGCGACCTACAGCAAGTAGGTCGACCTTGGGAGCGACCCAAAATTAGCGTAGACGGAAAAACGGAAAGCGAAGCTGATCCAATACCAACGAAATGCGCAAAAGGCACCTGTGCATGTCCCTCCCGGCGGCCGAGCGACGGTACTTCTTGACCGCTTTCTTGGGGTCCGCGATCCTTTGTCGGAAGGACACCGACGCCCCTGCAGTGGCCTCCGTGGCCTCGAAGGAGCTTAGCCCCCCCTCCGCCTCCCTCTCCCTCCTCTCCGACTCTGGACACATGGACATGCACGTCCCTCGGGCGTATTTATCCTGCTGCTGCTGCTGCTGCTTCTGCAGCATACTGCTGTGCTCTGCACAGTAACGGTCGATGCGGAAACCCTCCCTGCCACTTCCGCTGCTCTTTTCTCCGGTACGATGTACGGGTACAGCAGTAGCACCAGCATCAGGTCGCCCTCCAGATACTCTTGACCCCCCGCTCTCTCCCTTCCGCGAGCCGACGGGGTTGCTGTCGCCACGACCGCCCTCGTCTCGCTGGCGACCGGATCTCGATTTCGCGGCGTTGTTCACCGCGTTGTTTACAACACCGCCACTCCGAGAGGAAGGGGAGAAGGCGGGATTGGACCCACCGCTCCCGTTTCTCGAGTTGGCACCCGATGCCGCATTTCCGGGCTGCTTTTGGCGGTGGTGCTCTGTCCGCCCCTGCTTGGCGGTGGTGGCTTTAGCTGCAGCAAGTGGGTGCGGCAATGGTTGCCCAGCATCATTGGACCCCAGCCGCGCTTCTCCTTTCGCTGCTTCTGAAGTCCTCGAGAGAGTGGCTGCACTCGATCGGTGAGCGCCTCGTCGATCATGCTTCCGGTTGGTGTTGTCATCTTTCCTCGATAGGGCGTTGCGCGGGGACGGAGGAGGACAGCCGGGCCTGCCATGGACATTGGGGTTGGTGTTGTCATCGGCGCGGTCTTGGTTGCCGACCCGAGGAGAGCGTGGGGGGGAGCCAAGCCTGCTTAAGATACCCCCTCCACCTTTGCCTCCGCCGCTACCGCTGTTGCAGTCTCCGCGCCCTCGGACATGAGAGGGCTTGGCGTGAGAGGCAGTCCCTGGTTTCGATGGGTGTGCTCTGGTGTTGTCGGACTGAGGGGGATCTTGATGCTGGCGTCGAGAGTTGAAAGAGACGGGTCTTGTGGCTGTTGCTGCTGCTGCTGGAGGCGCCTCTGCCCTATCATCGTGTTCGTGGTGGTACTGGCGACGACCGCCATCCCTCCTCATCGTTGTTCTGGTGGCACTACGCACCCCCGCAAATCCGCTGTCTTCCCCTTTGCTGGCTTGCTGTTGGTGTGCGGACCCTTTGGGCGCGTTTGCTTTGTTGCCATCAAAGCCACCGCTCGGTTCGTTGTTCACTCGCGTGCCGTCCCGACCAGCAGAAAAAGAAACAGCGTTCCCACCTTTTCCCGCTCGGTTCTTCTTCCCTCGCTCCCCATCTCTACCACCGCCGTCACCACCTCGCCCTGTCCGTCCTGCTCCACCCTTGCCGTGCGGGGCCTTCTTCTTGTCAGTAGGAGCTTTGTCGTATCCGCTGTTGGCAGCTGCGACGTTCAGCGGCCGATTACTCGCAGCAGTCGGGGCTGCTTCTACTCTTGATATCGTGTATCCACGGCGGGCTGCAACAGCAGGAGTTACCGGCGCTGCCGTGGTATCCCCATTGTCGCCCATGTTGTCGTTGTTGTTGTCCACACCTGTTGCCGTTTGGATCACACGCGCAGCTTGTCGCGGGAGAGGCTACGGCCGTAGAGCAGGTGCAATGATACACTGCCCTTCCTTTCAAAATCCACCGCGGAAGCAGTATCGCAGCGCTGCAGGTTGGCTCACGGTGCAAACCAATGGCAAGACTAATTTGCTGAGCCGCACGTTCACACACTGCTGTGCTGCTGGCGAAGCCTGATCGGATCTGTGCCCTCTGGTCATGCATGGAGGTGCGGGGGCTCCGCCGATTGATATCTCGAGCTTGGACGGGTCTATCTGCTGCTAGAGCAGAGAGCCGACCACACACAGCCAGCACAGCACACCTCTTTCCCGCTTTCCACTGACGATGAGGACCTCGTTGCATCTCGCGGCGCTCACAGCTGCCTTGTTCCAACAGTATGGTGATGGCTTCGGTGAGAGACTGTAACTAACCTCTTGTCCGGTTGGTGCCCTTATGCCCTCCGAAACATGCTCTCTGGGGTTGTGCTGATCCGGATTTGACCCGGTGCATGCTCCCTTTCCATCGCCAGTATTTGAGAAGAACGTAGCGATACACCCCCATCAGGTTACCGGAGATAGACGTGCACTCGTGTGAACGCACTGTATGGGCACATTTGCTGCTAGGCGGCACTCTCGTAGCTGCCATGGTGTTCCTACAGCAGTACTCCTGTGGTACACGTGTAGTCTGTTGCCGGAGTTCGTTGCCCAACTTCTACCTGCGCCTTCGAGTGAGCGAGATCCGAACAACAGCAGCAGCAGTCTCATAGCATGCAACAGCAGTAGTGGGGCAATGCAGACATTAACACAACCTTCCGGCGATGAGATCACGTATCTCTTGTTTCCCATCCGGACTGCAAGTCCCCGACTATTCGATTTTTTTCATGACAGAGCATCGATTTCACGGAGCCCCCCCGCGGCAGGGTTAGATAGGAGTATAGATAGGCAACGTAGGGCCGGGACGTTGTTCAATAATTCCGGCTATAGCGACGATCCAAAATTAACCCTCAGAGGCAACCTTAGGCGCTGGTTCGAACACCTTGGTACCTCCTAAAGTCTGGGCGGAATCGTTTGTTGGAGGTGTACAGCTACTACCGCTGTAGAGCGCTGGAGTGGCATCTCTTCGCAGTTTGCCTTCACGCTGCCTCGACTTCCTCCAAAGAAAGCGACTGCAGTTTGCTGTGCTGAGTAGCGATCTTCAAGCAACATTCGATTCTACAACGAACGCAAGCTGCTGTGCATACCGTATATGACACAAGATAACCCACCCCCTTGACCAATTTTCGAAGCTCGATTTCTCAACTGCAGGAACAGCAACAGCGCCGAAAACGGCGGCGTTAACCCGTCTCGTCTAGCGCTTTTCGAAAATGTATCGTTTCGTTTGTGCATCGTATTCGTCGTGAAGTAATCAAGCTTTGAAAATCGATCGAGGGGGTGTGTTATCTTGTGTCATATACGGTATATGCACGTCCCCACGATGACATCCCTCCCGCTGTGCCTGCGCCGCCCCGCGTTAGCCTTTAGCGGAGGCAGCTTCGCAGCTATGAGAGCGGGGCAGCGCTTGTCAGTTGAGAGCTGCAGCACCACCAGCACCAGCCAGGGGAGAAGGCGAGCTGTTCCTGGCGAAGTGCGGATGATGTCAGGGAGCCTTGAGGATGAGGTGTGTCGTCTTGCTATTGTTATCTGTATACCCCAACCCGTTTTGACTTGTCCCGAGTAGAGCTTGTATCGTATCGGATAGAATAGGAAGGACCGTTTGGCACGGTCAACGGCTTCCGCAGTCGGTCGTTGCACAGAAAGCTCACCATACGTCTTCACCCAACGGAAGTCTATCCTGCTTCCGCACGTGCTGTGTTTATTACTAACAACATGGGAAAGAGGCTTACGCCATAGGAACTGTAATAGCAAACGGCTGCGAGCCTTCTTCTTTTGCTTGTGTTTGAGCTGGCGTTGCCAAGGTGCGCCATTTTCAAAGCCGCTTTCAGTAACTATTATTCAATTCAAGGACCCCAAGTGTTTGTACGGCAGTCCTGGTCGTTCTCTCCATACACTGAATTTCGGCTGCCTCTCACCGCTTTCGACGGCTGCAGAATGTTGCAAGAAAAGATGCAAACTTTGTCTGCAACTTTGCTCGGGAACTATTGTCAGTAACACTTTTGGTGCACGCTCATTATGGGACAAAGGAAGTTTTTTGTGCACGGGAGTGGCGGAATGCGGAGGCGTGATTTTTTTTTTTTTTACCAACGGCGAGAAGAAGGCGCACACCTTTATATCGCACCGCGAAAAATCCGGCCAGAGCGTGCGGGAGAGGGTAGTTGCAACTTTATTTCTCCACACTCACGATACCCCAAGGCATCTAACCTGGCACCAGAAAGATGCTGGGTAGAGCTAGCTCCTTCGGGGTGGCATTGCTGTTGCGTTTGTCTCCTTCTTCGGACAATAGAAAGATTATCGCTGAAGAACCAAACCATGAGAAAACAATACCCGCGAACTTGAACTAATCGCTCTCTGACGTGGATATTTTAGGGTCAATCAAAACATTTTTTTCCGTCGCGCACGATACCCCACGGCACCAAAACCTTGGGCATGAAAGATGGAGCAGAGACCCACCTCCGGCCGAGTGGCCTTGCTATTGCTGTTGCTTCCTCCTTCGGAAAGTTATCGGTGGATAACCAAACCCATGGCGGTCAAAAACACCGAAGTTGAACTAGCTGCTCGCGGCCGTTGAAGGTCGTGCACAACTCAAACTTTTTTTCCCGGCGCATTCGGCACCTCACGGCCCTAATCCTTGGCATTGCCCAACAGCCCATGGCATCACCTCCTTCCAGATACCATTTATGAGGCAACTCCCTAAGTATTCGTCGAGATATTGGTGATCACGACCTTCCCACAATCGAAGCTGGAGATGGGGTCTACGTCTGTGGGACCGGAGGCAACTTGACTTGAATTGGCAGCAGTTGCGCCGTGCAGAACTTTCCTCCAGATTGCAACTTTTTGCTCCCATACTGAGCATACATCAGGAAACTTGGAAGAAAAGTTGCAAGACTCGAAGTTTGCTTGCAACATTCTGCAGCCATTAAAAGCGGTGTCAGGTGCCATAAGTTTCTTGCAAATATCTCATGCGCATGCGCGCCAATAATTCCGCCACCACTTCGGTTGCGAAGTTCCATCCTTATCACAAGATGCTTGCCGTATCCGCATTACATATGTGCGTATGTCGATCTCACGTGGGCGTATGTCTGATGTGTGATGATGATGATGATGATGATGATGATGATGATGATGGTGATGGTGGTTCAGGTGGAATTCAAGGGTAGCCGGCTGGAGTTGAAGCCCACGCCGGAGCTGGGATCGTCCAAGAACAAGATGCTCCACGTCGTGTACCGCGTCGGCAACATGGACCGTGCCATCAAGTTCTACCAGGACGTCTTCGGGATGGAGGTACTAATTGGCTGTAGATAGGTACTGATCAGTCCTCCCAAACGGTGTGGTGTACGTGTCGCGCGTTGTTCGTTGAGGGGTGAATTATCGAAGGCTTCTCCAAATTGACCACTTCAGGGATTTTCTTGCACTCCGATGCACTCCGATGCACGAATGTTGTCTTGTCGTTTTGCTCGGGGCGTCAGTCTTTCCACCGTTCGGTTTATGACGCATTCCTGTGTTTCGTATGCCCAGCATGGAACCGCACCTTCCAATTCCAAGAGTGGCCCTGTCCCTCCAATGAAAAATGAGCAGACGATTTTACTTGTCGTGCACCTTCAGCTCAGATAACCTCTCTTGGATGCACGTAGCGTGCATCCGGGTTGTTGCAGGCACACAAAGAGCAAGAAAAATGTCAGAACGGGTTGTGCGAAAATCGATGGTACCCCGCGTGAGCCCCCATGATGTGTTGCCCTCTGACACCCTCTGATGCGCATGTTTTTCATCGCTGGTGCTCCTCACACAGATGGCTAAGTGCCATGAAACCTGCAGGATACCTCAAGCATGTTGTGTTCTAAACACGCAAACATGTCATTCGCCCTGGTTTCGCTCTGAACTTGGCAAATACCGTGCTGTCAATAGTGAAAGAGCTGCTGCTTCGAGCCTGTTTCGCAGCTCTTGGCACCAAACTTCACGCTGCTAATACATGCGTGCGAAGGTTTTGACGAACTCGCTCGAGGCTTCGCCAGAGTGGATACATGGGGGTAGGTAGCAGGGAGGGGGGGGTGTACTCATAGCCGTGCATGCCGTAGTCGTTAGACCATTGACCTCGCATCCCTACAAAGCCGGGACGGAGCACGCCGGGTTCTCACCGGACCAGGCAAGGTAGCAGACGTAGGTAGCAGCGAGGGGTTGGGGTCAATTTCGGATCGCCAAATGATTGTCGTTCCGGTTAAGGACTCTATGGCCTATTTTGACCAAACGCGCCCCGTATGTGTACCTCCAGTTTTTGTTTGGAACGCTCTGGCCATAACCCCCGAAGTTTGACCTTCAATGCTCTATACACACTCAAACAACAATCCTGGCCAAATTGTTGATGGCACAACGCTGTAGAGCCATGCCTAAGGTTGCTTGAGAAAGGTTGGCCACATGTTGCA